TTCATATTTTAAATATGAGTAACTTCCTTACAGTTGGTTCTATATCGCATCACCAACCCTGACTAGCCCAAGCTCTATAGCACGGAGTGGCCGACACCCATGTACATGTATGAGAGAGAGCGTCGCCAAGGAGCCCCTGCTGACTGTCCATAACGCAGAGCGTGGCTCGTGCACGTGTAGGAGCGAAGTTGAGGTCAGGGCCATTTCTAGGTGCCATGAGTAAGAACGTGGCTGGTTGGCGAGTCGTGTGGAGAATATCTTTAAGATATTGCACATGGAGAAAGATTGGAGTATCTTAAAAACATGGAGAATAACCGAAGAAATAATAATCGGAGGAACATGTTGGCGAGGAGAAAGCTGTATTAAATGCACAAATATGAAGGGTGACTTAGCTTTAGTCAGAGCGTCTAATCGGCGACGTATGACATTATATGATCGGCGTCGCCGAAATTGCCCGGCCCTCAAACTTTCTGGCCTGTCGTCCTGGCGGCGGTCGCGGTCGTCATAGTGCCGTTCTTCGCGGCGATCATCGTTGCGATGCAGCTAGCGTCGGAACGAGTAGTCTGGGTGATGTCATCCTTATGGTGCTGGTCAGCCTTAGGCGGATCAGTTTCAGGGAGATTATTGACATAGCTGCATTCGATCTAGTCGGAGAAGCGATACTGCATGGCGCTTTGATAGACGGTCGAGCGAAGCAATCGGCGTGTAACGATGTCCGAGTAGGTGAATGTTGCGTGGACGGCTTGATTGATAGCTTGGGCAGCTTGCTTAGCGGCGAGCTTGATGGCTCAGGCGGTTCACTTAGCGGCTCGTGATTGGCGATGGTGTAGGAGCAGTAGGAAGGTCCCTGATCCTGGCGGATCTCATGGACCTGGCAGTGCGCAGCTTTAAGCATTACGGCGACCTTGGCAACCTCTGGCGTTTGTTCGAGCCGAGCGACCTCGTTAGCAGTCATAGCCAAGTTGGTGCTTAGGGTCTTGTAGACATCGTCGCCGTTGCGACGGAGTGGGCGTGGCCTCCCTTGCAGGTCGAGTTGTTCTCCGTTGCGAACAGCCTCGGCTAACACAATGGCGGCCTCATTCGCTCGGCGCTACGCACGGTTGGCATTTCTGTTGATGTGAGCTGCACGGTCCTCATTGGTTTCTCCATCCCATGGAGGGCTGTCAATGCTGACATTAAAAATCCCGCCTCCACGGAAGGGTGGAAAAGGAGGTTGGACGGCAGCGGTTTCGGTGATAATCTCCGTAGAGCCCTAGGACTCAGAGTCTGGATTTTCCTCTAGGATGGTGTGGAGCGATTCTTTGGGACGTTGGCCAATTTGCAGCATATTGATAGTCGACGAGAGCTGGTCGGCGATCAGATCGGTGAGAGGATAGATGTCTCCAATCTGGTCGGCGAATTTGTCCCTTAGGGCATCTTGATGGATGGTGGTCGTATCCCCTAGAGTTTCCCGATCAGCTTTCGATAGATCGGAACTGAAAGGTGGTCGGCACTGAACCGGAGTGGTCAGAGCCGATTCCGTGAGGGAGAGGCAATCGGCGAGCTTCTAGCCGACCTGATCGATGGATGCGATCAGATCTTCGTTGCTGACCTGCTTCCTCGAGTAGCGGGGCAGCAGGCGGTGAGTTGTTGGTGAAGACGACCTCGGAGGCGGTTCTGAGATCGGATCTGCTATTGCGGGCGTTGGTGTGGTCGGCGTAGAATCGATCTGCACCGGCTTCAAGATCTCTCCGTCTCCGTTAGCATTGATGACCCAAGAGATCGATCCGACCATAAAGATCTGGCGGGGCTTTGGAGACGACGAGGAGCTTGAAAAGTGTACCATCTTGTTCGTCATGGAAACAGCATGCACACCCCCTACCTGGCGCACCAACTGTCGACAGAATATCATCGGTAGTCCTCCGAGGGGTATCCCATGAAGGTAAATTGATCGACGGAGGTGTGTGTAATCAAGAACAAGAAGGCAACAGAGACACAAGAGTTAGATAGGTTTGGGCTGTCAGCACGACGTAATACCCTGCTCCTGTGGTCTGTTAGTTTGTATTGGCTATCGTATGATATTGCGTGTGTTTTGAGGGGTCCCCTACCCGCCTTATATAACCGGGGTAGGGTTACAAGTCAGTTAAATCTAGGAGATAACCGGTTAGTAATAACAGGTTACAGGAATCACGGGATCGAGCATATCCTAACAGATCTCGTAGCATCTTCAGAATATCGCCCTTGATGTCTTGCGGTACACATCGAGCAGCACCGTGCACCGTAAGTCTTCGTCTTGTGGGCCGGACCGTCCCTGACCGTGCGGCCCATGTCCTTTGCCGTGGGTACCTGGGGTTATACCCCCAACACTGTCATATCAGATATTTAGACACTAATTTAGAGTATTAAATGTAAACTAATTGCACAGATTGGGACTAATTTACGAGACGAATCTATTAAGCCTAATTAGGCTCATGTTTAGTCTTTCTAATTAGTATCTAAATACCCGATGTGACATCTACTAAACTTTAGTCCCCGGATCCTACAACAAAATAAGGTGGAGGAATGGTAGGCAGAGGAAGAAGCATTGGTCCAGGAGCATCACATGTGTCATGACCTGATGAATCCAACACAACTAAAACAGGCCACCTTTCGAACAATGGAAAAACTTACGAATTTTGGAGGATTCTAATCCTACAGGAAAGATGCAGCTGAAAGTGCTGTTGACTCGTTTATTCATGGCCGATACTCTATTCCGATTTGAGATCTCATCTTTGCATGGTTTTCCCAACACGTGTCATCGCGCAGCCAATGGCAACACTACTCCACGGTAAAGGATTGGTGGATGGAGATATGGCCAGTCAACGAGGCTTTCAGCTAAAGGCCTTTCGCTCTCTTTTGTTGTTAGTCACATGAAAAACCTAGAAGGAGCATAACACGTGAATTTTCAAAAACAACACCTATCAATTCCCTCTGCTAGCCAAAATCAAGGAGGAGGCTTGCACCTGGTGTGCTGCAGGAGCGAAGCTCCTTTATGAGATCTTGCAAGTCATTTAGGCCTATCATGTTTGATACCTTTTCATCTCCTCCTTGTAGTGTGATGTGTTGATTTTATTTTCCCTTTGGCCTAGGCCTTGTTACTTGCCCTATTTTTTAATAAACAGTAGGTCCTGCTAGTTTACATTCAAAAAAATAATCCTACAGGATTTTTTTTTCTACATGCTCCTCTAGAACAAAAGAAACCCTACGAAACTCCTTTTGATTCCTTTGAGATGCATTATGGATCTATAGGAATTTTGGGCTTTATGGAAATTTTCCTTTGTGCCTCTCTAGTTGAGTTTTCTTCCAACATTTTCAGTTAATGTAGGACTACAAGTTCTGTACAACTCCAATCCAACGTTAGTTTGTTTCAAGAATCTTTCATATTCTAGGTGAACTTATCAGTGGCAGACTGGCAGTGTACTCTCAAGAATGCGTGATGCGTGCCTTTTGAGAATACAGTCAATGGTAGCTTTTGGTGTTCTCAAACTTTCAAAGAATATAAATAAGCTTCTCCTGTTTGCAAGATTTCAAAAGTTTTTGACAAATAAGCTTATGACTATTTGCTAATATATCATCACATAGACAGAACTGTATTGTTTTTGGGGATGGAGGTATACAATCTGGTAAGCATACTTCATCAAAACCTTGGTTGAGAAATGGCGAATGTGTATTCTTATTTAGTTGAACTCTACCTACTTATGTGCTTCTCTATAGCTTTTCTCGCTCATTGATGTAGTAAATGAATATCACTTTATATATGAAAAAACTTGCATGTTGATAAATTAAAGGGTGGACAGATCAGCAAGATCAGCTCGGTGATCGTTTCCTTTTTCATCCCTCCTCTACTCCTCTTGACACATGCATATTTTGCAGTCGTTATTATAGCTTTATTTATCTGTAAAGCTTATCTCCCGTTCCTCCACTGATAGCTACAGTAGAAATCTGCATTATTGTGGCCACTAGTCGGCATGACGGGTCCCACGCAGATGAAATGGCAGATGCTAGCTGTTTGAAGCTCCCAGAACATTCCCTTGGATGAAGGGGGACAACACCCCTCCTGCTGAAGCTGAACTCCCCCCCGGTCTCAGCTCCATGATCTGCTCACTTTTCTTAGTTTCCACGTCTCAGGAGCAGCTAGCACGAGCGCTGCTCATCTTCTGACCTTCATCCAATCACCAACACCAGCCAGCATCGTCAGACTTTCTTGAGCGTTATCAATGTATAACATTAATTATTGTATCGAGATCGAGACTGCCCCACAATTTGGGAGGCGAAAGATCCAGGGCATACAGTCAGCTGGTGCAGATCCCTTTCGCCCGGCCGATCTCCTCCTCTCCATGATCAGCTGATCGGTCGGTCGACGGTCGTATGCGCGTATCTGTTAGCTAATCTACTGCCACATTGTAAGAACACAGCAGAGGAAGGCGGCGCCGACTTAGCTGCCTGCTGTGTGTGAACACAGCAAGGGAAGGCGGCGCCGACTTTGCCCCCTGCTGTGATACAGTAGCCGCTGCAGGTGCAGGCGCCGCACGGCTCACCTGCAGCACTGTAGGAACAGGCAGTGGCCGGCGCAGAGTCAGCCCTGTCAGGTTATCTAGTTACTTTGCCAGCTTGGGCGCTGCACATAGACTAGATAGTTAGAGTTGTATAAATAGACATGTATGGCAACTCAGTAAAGAGAACTCAGATTTGTCATTAGTCTGGGAGACTAATGGTCTGGGGCCAGTGGTCTGAGAGACGAGTGGTATGGGAGGCTAACTGTGGCCCAACAGTATCCTGATCTCCGTGCCTATAAAAGGAGGCACCAATTTGCAGGTCGTCCAGCAAGCTCATCAGCATTCGATCGCTCCAGCCTCCAGCTAGCTGCAGAGCCATAGCATAGCAAGCCTTGTGCTGTGTCCTCTTCTGCTCGATCGCTCGGCAGCCAGCACAACACTCTTGCTAATATATATAATTCGTCCAGGAATAATCAGTTCAAACCAATGGTTCGTAAGGCTAATTTTCTAATAAGCTTAGCTGTGCATATATATTTGCATTCTGTAGTTCATTCATATATAGTTTTGCAGCTTAGCAAAATGATGATACCTCATTTGGTAGTGACAGTTAGGACATGGACAGTACTTGCACATATATGCATGCAATGCTGAATCTGCTGATGGCTGATACACCATGTTGCTCTGTGTGCTTGCGTGCCTTAATGCTTAATTTGATTAGGACGGGAAGAAGGTGAAGGAGAGGGCAGCATGGGGCACCAGCGACGGCGGAGGCAACCTGGTGAAGGACGCCGTCGACTACAGGGGCTGCCGGGCGGACAAGTCCAGTACGGGCGGCTGGGTGGCGGCGGCGCTCGCCCTCGGGATCGAGCTGTGCGAGCGCCTCTCCACCATGGGCATCGCCGTCAACCTGGTCACCTACCTCACGGGCACCATGCACCTGCCCAGCGCCGCAGCTGCCAACGTGGTCACCGACTTCATGGGCACCTCCTTCCTCCTCTGCCTCCTTGGTGGATTCCTTGCCGACTCCTTCCTCGGACGATACCTCACCATCGCCATCTTCGCGCTCGTCCAAGCCATCGTAAGCACTCCTGTATGCATGCAATGCAAACTCGATTGCTGCTCTGGCATGGCACGATAGATGATCCATGCACGTGCGCACACATGACAGGGCACGGGGCTGCAGTGTCCACGGAGGTGAGACAGCTGCGGCCGCCGCCGTGTGGACCCGGCGCGGCTGGGCCATGCGAGCAGGCCACGGGGCTCCAGATGGGCGTCCTGTACGTGTGCCTCTACCTCATCGCGCTCGGCACCGGCGGGCTCAAGTCCAGCGTCTCGGGCTTCGGCACCAACCAGTTCCACGAGCGCGACGCACGCGAGCGCGCCGCCATGGGCCTCTTCTTCATCAGCGTCGGCACGCTCCTCGCTGTCACCGTCCTCGTCTACGTCCAGGACCACGTCGCCCGGAGCTGGGCCTATGGCATCTGCGCCGGCACCATGCTCGTCGCCATCACCGTCTTCCTGTCTGGCACCAGGCGGTACCGCTACAAACGCGGCTCTGGGAGAGTGGGAGCCCCATCGTGCACATCCTCCAGGTCCTCGTCGCTGCCGCCCGGAAGCGGAACATCGTCAAGCAGCCGCTCACCGCCTCCGCGCTCTACGAGGACCGCCCCGAGCACGCGCGCATCCCCCACACCGCCCAGTTCCCGTGCCTGGACAGGGCGGCAGTGATGGCCGGCGACAGCGACAACGAGGTGGGCCACGACGGGCGGCCGACGCCCAACCCGTGGAAACTGTGCTCCGCGTCCGGCGTGGAGGAGGTTAAGATGGTGGAGCGGCTGATGCCGGTGTGGGCGACGACCATCCTGTTCTGGACCATCTATGTGCAGATGATCACCTTCTCCGTGGAGCAGGCGACGACCATGGACCGGCGCATGGGCGGGTTCAAAATCCCAGCCGCCTCGCTCACCGTCTTCTTCGTCGGCGCTATCATGCTCACCCTCGCCTTCTACGACCACGTCTTCGTCCCGCTCTGCCTAAGCCTCGTGACCGCCCGGCAGGGGTTCACGAACCTGGAGAAGATCGGCATCGGCCTGGTCCTCTCCATCATCGGCATGGCCACCGCGGCAATCTGCGAGAAGAAGCGCCTCGCCGTCGCTGCCACGAGTGGCGGCGCAGGGCATGGGTCGCTGCCCATCAGCGTCTTCATGCTGACGCCGCAGTTCCTGGTGGTGGGCGCCGGCGAGGCATTCATCTACACGGGGCAGCTGGACTTCTTCATCACGCGGTCGCCCAAGAGCATGAAGACCATGAGCACGGGCCTCTCCCTCACCACGCTCTCGCTCGGCTTCTTCCTCAGCAGCGCGCTCGTCTCGCTCGTCAAGAGCTGCACGCAGTGGCTCGGTGACACAATCAACCACAGCCGCCTACTGGCTGCTGGCCGTGCTCAGCGTCGTCAACCTCGTCGCCTACCTCGTCTGCGCCACGTGGGCAACGGCACCGGCCAGCAGCCAAGCGGAGCAGCTGCAGTCCGTGATGGCCACCGACGAGAAATGCTAGCAAGATCAGATACCGATCGACCTCTGTTGCACTCTCAAGTCCAGACATATACTACTTGATACGCCTACCAATTTAGAGGATTTTATAGTTTTGAGTGGTGCAGTTTCGATGTGATCTTCCTACATGTTAAAACCAAGTTCACCTCAGGTTCAAAAAAAAAACACCAAGTTCACCTCTGTTTATTGAAAAAATAAGAAAAAACTTTAAATTCAAGAGGTCTTAGACATAGGCACATAGCTGGCCGTAGTATGATGTTTAGGTCGCTTTTTGTTTCCTGGCTAGTCACTCATGAAAAACGATGTCCTAATGGGCTTGTACGAGTCTTCTTCGTCTCCTATCTTATTATTATATCATGTTCGAGAGAAAAAAATTAAATTAATAACAGGTCTTCTAATTGCTGAAAATATCACTCAGGATGTTCAACTTCACAAATTGCAACATTGCCTATGAGCTACAACTCAAGAGAGCAACGAGCATTACGACTCAAAATACACATATCTGAAGATCATAAGTGGGGCAGACTGCATACTCAAAATAGACATAACTGAGAAGATCATTTTCTCTCAGATCCATGAAGAAAGCAGACATATTATGCATAAACATATCAATTGTAGACGAGAAGGTTTACCTCCCATAATAGCTGAGCAAGATTACTGTAGCAAAGGTGCAGCATCTGATTGCCACGGTGCAGTAGCAATGCTGCCAAAAACGGCTTCAGCATACTTGAGTGACTCCTCAACTTGACACAAATCGACTTGGAGCTTTGAAATAGATGAGCAATTTTCTGTTTTTTGCATGCCAAGTGAAGCTTTCATCTCTTGGTATTTCTTCTCTTCCATCCCCATGATGCACATGTCAAGCACCTTGAGTCGCTGCTCACATCCACAGTTTATTGCTTCTATCTCAAATATCTCCTTCTCTAATCTTACTTTCCTGCTCTTGAGATTAATCTGGCAAGTCCTTGTACAAAGCAGGTTATGGAGGCAGACCTTCAGGGGGCCAGCTTCAAACCCGTTCTCTTCCTCCATATCCAATAGGATGCTCATCTTCTCTTCATAAAGTCGTGGTTCATCCTGAATTCGCATGTTCTTGATGCTTTCGGCCATGTCTGCAAAAGAGACCATAAGTCCTATGGCTCTTCCTCCACGAAGTTCTGGAGGACAATTCCACACCTTACGGAAGTGTGGATTCTGTGGTAGCTTCTCAAAGACCTCCATTTTGTTTTTAGGCATCAGCAGCAAGGAAGTTGTAGAGAACACTGGAGAAAGATTGCTGCTGTTAGGCACTGCCAGTGGCATGAATGCTGATGTATCCACCATCAGACCAGGATGAAGCAATGAAGATGGTCCTGATGATTTCTTGGAAACAGGTTCTAGAGGTTGACCCCAAGGTTGTTGTGATGATGCATTGCATTCAGTATATGATACAATTGCAATATCCTTGGCTGCTGGAAACAGTTGGTCCTGTCAGTCAGTGTATCAATGCACTAAAAAAACTACCATTCTGATTTTGCAAGACTTACAGTTCCTACAGGTTTCCAGGTGAAAACCTTCTGCTGACACAAGAGACATACCCATTCTTTGGTTTTTTATCTCCACCTGCCGATAGAATCATCAACAGATGCAGAGTGATTGAAAAATTACATGGAATTCAATAAACTAGAATAAAACCAAAAGGGTTATATGCAAATGGCAATTAGCTGATTGTGGCAGAGAGGAGTACTTACTTTGTTATCGTTACGGGCTTCAATACAAACAAGGTCAGCCTTGACACCCTTTTGTCCAGATGAAGGTCGTTCTAATTTTCCGATTAGGAAGGCTTCCGCCTCCTCAGGTGAAATGCCTGTTTTTTTGTTTTCTGTATCTATCTGTACATAGAAACATAGATAATCAGAAAGACTGAACAATTTCCATCGAGTTCAATAAGCTCAAACAAAATAAAAAGAGGCCACAAGAAAATGGCCTGGCAGCTGTTCCCCTCCTATTGGTTAGGTGGACAAAATTGGAATGAGATGGTTGTGATATATGACAAAAGAAAGAATATTTACCTTGTTATCGTTAGGTGCTTCAATGCACAAGAGACTGACTTCAATATCCCGTAGTCTAGACGAAGATGGTTCTAGTTTCCCAATTGGGAAGGCTCCACCATATGATTGGTTGACAGTCTTCTGATTGGCTGATAATATTTGCAACTGATTAGACAGGCTTTACTAGTGTAAATCAGGCTTATGCTTGTAACAAGAACTTACAAATTCTAGGGTTAGTCAAACCAGTACCTGCTCCTTCAATGGAAGTACCAACCACCCAGCTGTTCACCTGCATCGGTATTCAGATATATCGTAATGCTAGACAATCAAGAAGGATATATCATATATGTATATCTCAAAGGGAGGAAAAAGGAGAAAAGAGAAACGCTAGAAGAGCTGCTACCTCTGTAATTTTTGGGCACATTTCCTGGTTTTCGCCTTCACTTTGCATTTTGATTGGGTTATAACTAGAATCGTCGCTGATTTCAATAAAACTTCCATGGCTAGAGTCATCACTTATCACAACAACATCACCAAAGTTGTACTTGCTATCAATTTCAATAACATCATCCAGTGAAGAAACAGAAAGGTCCTTTCTCTTACTAGCAAGTGCCTAGATTACGTGACCAGATGAAAACAGCAAGGAATCTGAATCAGTACTGAGGAAGAATCAGTGACCAAAAAGGCGCATGTCTGCATGATAACAGTTGGAAGGTACTGAAGCTAAAAAAATGAATAATACAGAAGAAAGCTATCTGAGAAATGCACCAACCTTGTGCTAAAATAACTTCCCACACTTTTGAATGCTGGTGAAGTGAGTAATACTTTCAAATTTTGGTGCTAGAAAGAAGAAAGGATTCAAATCAAGACAGTGTGTACCTTTGGCAAGGAGTGCCTCCCTTTTCCATCACACGGTGTACAGATTAACTTCACTGCATTGGCTTCCAGTATTTGCTCTTGCCCCTTTACAACCCCAAACCCTAAACCCGCCCGTTCTCTCTCTAGTTTCTTCACCCTAGATACATGCTTTTCAGAAGGTATTTCCATATCCATAACATCCTTTAATGATGAGCTGTCTGTATCTTGCCTGAGATTTAAAGAGTGTCTCAAGTGCACCTCTTCCATTTGAGCATTTTCTTTCCTCACCCTTTTGTTAGGGATTGAACTATACTGATCACTGTTTCCACCAGGTGTGGAGAACTCTGGTGAATAGCCAGAATCTGATGAATAGTCAGAATCAGAATCTGAATAATTTCTTTTCCTGGCATATTTCTATTAAACAAAAAGGGGATATTAGTACAGAGAATTGGGATAAATATAACCATCATTTGAAATGATATCGTAAACTTGCAATCATGCGAAGCAATAGAAACAACAACTTAGAAGTAGACTCAAGACGTGGGTAAGATCATGAATACTCAATGATTAACTGGTGAAGCACCTTGGTAGAAGGTATCCTCCATTCCGGACTGTCCCATTTGGCCTTGGGTCTCAAGGACGCACTTGACACAATCATGTAGTCATTTCCATATGCGTTGCTATGCTCTTTGACCTTTACTCTATATCTTCTAGGTTCACAGCTGCCAACATCTGCAATGACACCTAGTGACCAGATGCCATCATGATATACTTCCACCTCTGCCGAGGGCTTCAATTCATACTCCAACTTCATTTTGTCATAGATGGGTTCTGGCCGAATGAACCTTGTGTGGAGGACCTCAATGGAGCTCTCCCCATTTCCGTAGCTAACAACATAGTTGGTACTGCCGACCATCTTCTTAATAATAGCCGGCCTCCAAACTCTGCCCTGTTTATCACACATCACTTCTATGCGGCTTCCTTCTGCATAATGTGGTATCCCTCGCAGCTGAATTCAAAATAGGGAAAAGAAGCAGTCAATCTGTTTACAACAAAGCTAGGTTAACCAAAACCGCGAGATAATTTATTTGGCAAACTAAAAATGCCATGGTGCTCTTTAAGCTTCAGTGCAAATGCTCTCTTAGAACGTGAACTTGGTGGCTTAGATAACCATACAGTATAAACTAAGCTAAATGGCTACTGGGCAGTTTGAGGAGTAAACATGATCGCCTAGTTACAATCCTTAACTTGCAATGATTTAGTGAATAGGTGTTCAAGTGACTCGGTTGTAAAGATGTATAAATGAAGCCACCTTATTCTCAAATGGATATTTAGTAAACAAATAAGCCTATGGTGTCACTAGTCTTTCCATTCGAGGAACTGTTTGGCTTGCATGGTTAAGCATCCCAACGGGCAGATAGTTCGTGATCAATGCATGTAAAACTTTTCTAAGAGGCTATTGGCTACCTGTTGGCATCAGCTAATCAGCATGACATTAAATAAACACACTAAAGCAATGGAGCATGCTTAGGTCTAAGAAATGCAAGAACAAACTCCTGTGCATGCAGTACAGAAACAGGTTTTTTGCAAAATAGTTATGTGCTTTCATTTGATGAAATAGTAGATAAGTTTGATGTGCAATAAAATTAATCCTGAAAACAGAGCAGAGAACATTATGTTTCTTAATAAATATAATAGATCGATGGAAACTTAAAAATCCTAAGTCCCCTTTTTGGATAGTGGGGATTTTCACCAAAATTAAGCAGGAATTGAACTATTTCCTGTGAAGCTAGTGCAAAATTGCTGCACGCCTGCACCTGGAGTGCTAAATCAAAAGGAAGTTTCTATGCGATAGAGCAAAGCAGGCGCTATTTGCTCACCACTTCCTGCGCGTCGATCCAGCTTCCGTACACGAACTCCCGCCTGGGCCGCACAAACGAGGCCGAGAGCACCACTACCTCGCGGAACAGCGGGAGCGACACGGCAAACTGTGTCGCCTGGTTCCGCCTCCGCTGGGGCCGGATGTCGGACACGACGCCCGGCCACCATCCGTCGCTGTGGTACGCCTCGACGAGATCGAACAGCTCCAACTCGCGCCCCGGCGGCGGCGGTCTCGGCCGTACATTGGAGGCTGCCACGACCTCCCGCAGCGGGGGGCCGCCGCGGCGGACGAGTTCGCAGTAGAGTACCTTGTAGCGACCGGAGCCCGGGAGGCGCGCGGTGACGGTGGCCTCGAAGCGCGCGCCGCGGAAGCCCGGTCCGGTGAAGAGGACCTCCACCTCATCCCCCACGGCGTAGCGGCGGCTGCGTGGCCAGTTGCCGGAGCCCGTGCCGGCATCCTTCCCCTCCTCCTCCGCAGCGGATCGAACCATGCTTGCAGCTTCCGGTATGGTGCAACCTCGGAAATTTCGTGGGAGACGAGGGACTGAAGAAGTGAAACCGCGGATGAGGGTTTTGACAGTGCTGACCTTGAGTTCGAAATTTGAAATGTGAAAAGGAAGTGAGTGCAGCTGAAGCTCACAAAGCAGGGGCTCCACCTCGACAGTGCTTCGGGCGCGCGTAGGAAAAGCGATGCGGCCTGAGCACGGCGTGGGCGACAGGCGAATGGCCGGCGGCCGTGCTGGCGGCGACCAAGGCAGGGAACTCCCCCAAAAGCACCTGCCTGGGGAGCGGCAGCACCTGGCACGCCGCTGCCTGAGTGTCCAGGTGACGAGGAGGCGAGGAAGGCGGACGCGCGACCTAGTCCCTCGCAGATAGCGGCACCTCAGGGCCGATCAACGAGGATGGCGGCGGCGGATGAAAAGGACGAGTCGCCGGCGGAGTCGTCGCTCATGGGGAGATGTGTGTGCTCTGGTGGTGGGCTTCGATGGGCTATGACTAGCCGCGTGGCCTCTGCTAGTTTGAAAGCATGGAGGGTCTAGCCGTTGGACGCGAACGGGCGGTCCGGTGTGCGCGACTGTAGACGTACCCAAAAATAAATGCGTCTCACGCTTTAGAGTCAAAGAAATCTCAATTTATTTAGAGAATAGTATAACATTTGTATCTTGAAATAAAATTACTATAAAAATTTATAATTGATAATCATAGTCTTTTTTTATATAGATTTGATCAAACTTAAGTTTATTTGACTTCTGGAAAAACGAGATATACATTTATTTATTTTGGGATGCCCTTGGGCCTATGATTTCAATCCTCTTTGTTTTTTACCATGGAAAAGGGTTCATGACCATTACTTATTAACCGTGGCGGTACTTTGACAGATGCCGTCGCGCAACAGAAGCAGAAGCCTTGGCTTGTGTGGAAAGGCTCCAGCGGGTAATTCAAAGGGGCGTCACACAGATTATCATCGAAACGGACTGCTCGAGGGTCATGTCGGCCTTGAAAAGTTTGGACATGGATAAATCGGAGATCGGTATCATCATCGCGGAGGCCAAAGACCTCATATATTTGCTGGGCGATTGGAGAGTTTCTCAAGTGAAGTGTTGGTGTTTTGAGTCACCACCAACGAGTAAATTTCTAATATTGCGCGTCTGGCTCGGATGGTGTGTTTAGAGGACACGAGTTTTATACTGGTTCGGGCAGAATGTCCCTACATCAAATTCGTCGCTGCTGCTTGTGTTACTAGCACTGAAAGTTTGCAGTAGGGGTTACAAACGGGTGAGATAGGGAGAGGTCTCAAGTCTCTAATGGAAGGAATGAACGGGTGCCGAGAGCTCGGTTGCTCCTCAGCCGTGTGCTTGTGTTGTGATCGGTTCGAGGTTCGATGGGTTTGTGATGGTTTGATCAGGTCTGGCCTGGATCGATAGTTCGATTGTTCGATGGTCAGATGCCCCTCATGGGGCGCCCTGTTTTCCCTTTTATAGGCCAAGGGAAAGCACGGGTTACAGTAGAGGAAAGGATGAGAGTGAGAGAGAGAGAGAGAGAGGATGTCCTTCAGGATCTCCGGGTCCTTATCCTTCATGTGGGTCCTGCTGACCTTGTAGATGTCAACAGGGATGGCTCCACGTCGTGACCCTGACCTTCACTAGCGCCATACACAGCCGTCGTCTGCCGGTTATGGCGCTCCACTCTGTCCTGGCGGACGTCGTGGTGAACTGACGCTCTTGTCAATGTTCGTACGAGGGTTAGGCAGAACAGTTCCGGTACGCCCGACGCTGTTCCTGATGTGAGCCCTCGGGTCTGGCCCGTTGTGGCCGCAGGTTACATCGGGGTGTGCCGGTCTCTTCCCTGGTGTCAGAGCTTTGACCTAGGTCCATACACTTGGACCTAGAGTGGTTGGTGGCGGCATGGGTCTTCATCGGGCGAGATGGAGTCCGCGGCCTCGGGGTTGGGCAAGACGAAGCCTGTGGCCTCAGGGTCGGGCGAGATGGAGCCCGTGGCCAGAGCCCGGGCGAGGTGGAGCGCAAACCCAAGGGCGGAGCTAGCCCTCAGAGGTCGGGCGAGGCGGAGCCAGCCGTTAGAGGTTGAGAGAGGTGGAGCCCGTGGCCACGGTGTCGGGCGAGGCGAAGCCAGCCCTCAAAGGTCGGGCGAGGCAGAGCCAACCCTTAGAGATCGGGCGAGGTGGAGCCCCTGGCCACGGTGTCAGGCGAGGTAGAGCCCGCGGCCTTGGGGTCGGGCGAGGTGGAGCCCATGACCTTGGTGTCAGGCGAGGTGGAGCTTGCATGCCTAGGGGCCGGTTGGAGCCATTGTCGCACTCTTGATTGCTCGGATTAATCAATATTGATGGCCATTAACTCCTCCTCTTCGGATACCCTAGTATTGGTCCCCGATAGTAGCCTCCGAGCCTGCGGAGGAGTAGAATACTTCTTCAAAGGCTTTTTCGAATGGTAGGACTCTGAGGGCCTTGGTCTTCTTTTGTCGCCCACGGCGTGACCCAAGGACGGTGATTCCCTTTTGTCGAGATCAGACCCCTCGGTGGTATAGCCATGAGATCTGGTAGGTTAGAAAAGGTCTTTCCTGATTTTGACCCCTATGGGGGTCTGTCATTCCACGACCGAGCGCTCAGCCTTTGTGCGAGTCCAACTTTCCTCGGCCCCCTTGGAGCAGGGGTTCGGTCGAGGATCGGCTCATCTTCGTGATTGTCTTCCCTCAAGCGTTTTTTCCGATAAAAACGGAGGGACCGAGCCATGTCATGATTTTCCTCTATGGACAAATCATGGTGCTCGGTGAGCTGTCAACGGGCTAGTCTCAGTGGGGCCTCGACATCCCGTTCGTGGGGATCCGGCTTGGGTCAGTTGGTGACTGGCTCTAGATTCTCAGCAGTCAATCCATATAGTTCTCGGGTCCGTTCGGCCGGTCCCGAGGGCTCTATGCCTTTCTTCGAGGAAAACCATAGATCATATCCGACTGAGACTCGAATATGGGCCGGGATGCCCGCGACGCTCATGTGCCCGGGTACTGGCTACTAGCTGGCCCATCCCTTTCCACCCCTCACTCTAAAGGTGCCCGGAGCGGTTGTCAAACCCGTCGGTGGGCCAACCTTCAAACTTCTGAGCCTAGAAGGGCCGTAGTAGAGTTTTTAGCTCCGTATCCCTTACCTATGATGGGTTGTGGCCCGTCCAGAGAGGCGAAATGTCCAGTGAGTTTTTCGGGGGAACGGACAGAGGTTGCGTGCAGGCAACCCACGGTGAGACGTGGTGGTAGATCATGGCAGGTGCGGAGATCTAGGCGGGAAGTTGGTTTCCTCGCACCCGTCACCCCTATAAAACCAAAGGGTTAGCCCCCCGGGTTCCATACCTTGCATCCTTGCCTCTGTAGCCACGACCACCGCCACCAATCGTTTAGGGTTCCTGCCTCCGCATCCTCGCCGTCGTCGAGCCCGCATCCATCCGCCCCCACTTCCAATGGATCCGTGGTGCCGTTCTGATATCACCTTCTAGTGCATGGAGGGCCTCGTCCGTCGTGGTCTTCTCCGCGCGTGGACATCGACCGAGGAGTGGTTGCTGCCCGGTGAGGAGGACTTGCCATCGCCGCCCAATGGCTATGTGGTTTCGTTCGCCCACTTCCATGTGCGTGGGTTCGTGACCCCCACCCACATATTTCTTCGGGGGTTGTTGCACTACTACAAGATTGAGCTGCAGCATCTCAATCCCAATGGGATCCATCACATGGCAGCGTTCGTTGCTCTGTGCGAGGGATTCCTAGGGACTTCGATTTGTGAAGGCACTTCTTCGCCATCACCCTCCAAAAGAAGAGGGAGAAGAGTGGCACACAGGAGCTGCACATGCCGATGGGGTGCACAGGCATCCAGCTCCGAAATAATTGGGTCGGCGAGTACCCGTCCATGCAGCTTTCAACATCCAACAAGGGGTGGCACTCGCAGTGGTTCTACCTCAAGAACACCGCCGCCGCCCCTCTACCAGAGTTCACCGGGCGCCTGATCGAAGAGGCCCCGAAGTCATGGAGGAAGTGGGGCGTCCTGAAGAAGGATAAGAAGAAGATCCGAGACCACATCGCCGCCATCCACATCCTAAAGGAGAATGGCCTAAGGGGGTCAGGCGTCATCGGGGCCTATATGCGATGGCGCCTAAGGCATCGTTTGACAGAACAACGCTCGCCGAGTGGACGCTCCCCAACTCCGAGATCATGCAGCGCATCAAGGAGGCGATGGAGCCTTTGCGGGACAACACGGGTGCCGCCCTCGACTTCGTTTACCCGGTGCCGGGGCATCCCCCGATGTGGCCAGAGCCAGACCATGTCGTCTTCATAAGTTTCCCTTTCTCTTGCCTTCTCTTCAATTGATTTCCCCAACCCCTTGATACTAACTTTGAGAGGGATGGGACCAGTCGAGGGACCTCATCCTCATAGATCACTCGGCGCCGTTGCTGAGGGATTCAACCGTGAGGATGGTGAATCACGCCGAGGGTGAGCGGCTGAGGAAGGCGAAGGAGTATAGGAAGAGGAAGAGGCAGCGGAAGCTATAGGCATGGGAACGAGGGGAGGACACTAACAGCGATGATGATGATGATGATGGAGACGACGACGAGGTAGTCAACGGTATCGAGTGAGACATCCTGGAGAACGAGGATGCGTTGATAGGTATCAGTTTGTCCTTACAGGCGTCGGGACCCTTCCCGTTCCACGGAGGGGAGGGTACGTCCAGGGAGCCAGCGGAGGCAGGCCGTACCATCAGCCTGCCCTAGGAGTCAACAGGGGTGGGTGGCTCTACCATCACGCCTGAGGTGTCATCGAAGGCGGGCGGCTCTACCGTCACGCCCCAAGAGCTAAGGGGAGCGAGCCCCTCTGCCCAGGAGCAGTGGCGAGCTCGAAACAACCTCGCTCTGACAAGGCGGAGCAAAGGTCGGGGGGTTCACCCCCCAAATGCATCTGTTGCCCGACAGCGCTGAGGTGAGTTAACAGTTCCTCTGTTTTT